GGACTGACTTCTGCTACTCACAAATCTCACATTGCTTTAGCTGGTTGTAACATATTATAGCAATTGGGTAGGGACATCAAAGGTAGATAAATTCTTTTTCATGATGTAAGGGAGATAGATAGTATGTTTTGATAAATTCAGAGAAGTAGACATGTAGTTTTATTACATAGAAAATCCCTGGATATAATATCCTATTCCATACAAAGTATAAAATAATATTTTCCTATATTATGGTAAGTGACAAAAAGACTAGCCTCTGGCTGAATAATATAATATAATATAATATAATATAATATAATATAATATAATATAATATAATATAATATAATATAATATAATATAATATAATATAATATATAACACCAATTCAATTCAATTTGCAAACTTTACTGTTATGTTGTAAGTTTTATAAATCTTTTCCTGTATATTCCATTAACATATTTATTCTTGGTCTTTGCAAGCATCCTTGAATAAAATAAACTGTTGTCTTACCAGAGAGTGACCTAGGCAAAGGTAAACCCCTCTTAGAATAAAACTTTTCTTCTCTGTCTTGTTCATCTGATAAAAAAGAAACAAAATCAAATTGTTTCCAAAAACAAATTTTTATATTAATATACACTTACAGTCTATAAGTGAGCAAAGACTTTGTAAAATCAAGTTAATGCTGTTCCAAGAAAGTCTGTTTAAATGTATGATTCTATGTAATGGTTTGATAAATCTAAATGTGATTCACATTTAACTACAATACAACTTACTTTTATGAAGGTTTGGAACAAGTTTATACACTATATCTTGCATGGTCCGATCATGGCTAAAATCAAGAACAAATAATTCCAATTAAAAGATACTAGTAGATAACAGACACACTTTCCACCAACAATGTGAAAATGATAATACCTTTAACCAAACTGGTTTATACTGCTATAAATACAAACTGACAAATAGCTGAGGAGGGCATTTTTTATAAGTAAACATGTTTCTGAATTATTAAAAATTAAAAAAAAAATCCATATATGTGCCGAGTGGATAGAAAAGGGATTGTCTTACCTGATGTAGTTGAGTGGATGACTCTGATGAATAACAATTTGACAAGTAGGACAAGTATTGTTTTCTTCCAGATACTTTACAATGCAACACTTACAAACTGAAAAAGGAAAGTGATAAATGTTGGATGTACATAAATTACTACTTCATAGAAATGACCTATATAGCTGTTCTTTTTATGTACCAAATGGAGTGACACAGTAACCTGATGGCAGACATGTTTGAAGCCTTATATCCAAGGAGAATACCAATATTAATAAACTATAATTACATAGTAAATTTGATACCGAGTAAGTATTAATGCACTTACATGTGTGGAGGCATTCTGTGATGGTAGTGGCATCTATTAGATACCCCTTGCATAATCGACAAGTTATATGAGGATTAACTGTCTTCAGACGTATACGTCTCTCTCCTCCCTTGCGGCGCATGGCCTAACAGAAGAACCAAATAAAAGGTATTAAACCATCATATCATTCTTAAATAAATTTGTAGAAAAGTTTATATAAGTATCTTCATAGGAGAAAAGGCTTAAAGTATGACTAGTAACCTTTTCTTATAAATTACGAGCACATAAATCTAAATGCAAAAGTGAAGATTTTATGCAATACCAAGCTTTCAGCATATCAAAAATCATCAAAAGCAGGGCTAAAGGGGTCTCACTAAACACAGAAATGACACAGAATGATATCCTAACCTTGCTTTAAACTATTTCTCCTCTACACATCTCAAACAGCATATTTATAAACATTGTGTGGAGTTCAAGACAAGGGTAGATTGGGATGCTTAAAATAAAACTAAGGTCTCACTCGGGGTCATATGGTTCATTTCAGTGCTAAATGACACCCGTGCTAACGCATGAATTTTGGGCACTTTGCAGTATTCCACTCCCGACAATATACATATTCTGTCTGATCTTCAGTATCTTCTCTAAACTAATTTGTGCAGTGACTTTCAATGATCTCTTTAAAAGAATCAGTTTGGCAATTTATTTACTAATTTAATATGCATTTAATTGAACATAATTTAACATGAAACTTTATGCCATTCAAATATTATGAAAGCCATGACCACTGCTGGTGTAAAATGGGCAAAGAGCTTAAAAGGTTTAATGTAAAAAAATAGTGAATTTCCAAACTTAATTATCTGAATAGCAGAGACAATGATCACAGTCTCACAGTCAACACAAAACTTAATTCTGATTAACATTGAAAATGAGACAGTTATAGGGTAGGGAGGAGACCGGGGGGGACACTGCACAGAGTACCGAACGGTGTGCTACCAAGCAAAAGAACGAGCAACAGGGTGGAAATAATATGAAAAATTCCGG